GTGTTTGCTTACTAAAAAATATTTTAGATGAACATATGCATGATACTATTTTATGATAAACTGTGGCTAAAATCTAGAGATATTTATCATCAATCTAGTCTTCATGTGTTAAATTTGTTGTGTTGAGTTATAGCCAGGACCTGAATCAATCAACTCTCTCTCTCTCTCTCTCTCTCTCTCTCTCTCTCTCTCATATACACTCACAGACACCAAAAGTTTTTAATACTGGCCATAAGAGACAGCACAAAAATGGTTAACTCTAAGCAAAAATCACCTCTGCCCCTGTGTAAGCTGACAGCAAAACAAAACAAAACAAAAACAAACAAACAAACAAACAAAAACCAGGTACAGCAACCAGCACTCACACTGCTTCTCACATTAATCTTATTCTGACTCCTGCATCATCCTTGTGGTCCAGAGGAGGTGCAACATCTCCCCCAGTATTTAGTTGAAAAGATCTGCCCCTGAGAGATTTGTGCACTACAATTTAAATCAACATTAAATGAGTCAATAGACCTTGGAAGGTTTAAAGATGTAATTAGAATTTAAGCTGATTCTTTGTCTGTGATTATTGTAAATGACCAAATATGCAGAAGGCCCTGAGGCTGTTATTTGAAGGCCTAATTTATTATAGGAGTATCATAAAGCATCTTAAATAGAAGGTATATTGTAAAAGCTGCTCTGTGGAAGACTGAATGTCTAAAAACCTGAACTTAGGATGTAGTAGATAGGAGTTAGTCCAGGGATGAAATACAGCATTTTACATATAAGCAATTTTGAGAATCTAAGCTTTTCCTCATCAGTGAGACTAAGTCGAAGGCCCAGCATGTCATCTTATCATGTGGTCACAGTGAGAGGTAGAAGACTGTTCTTGCTAGAACGGTGGAGATGTTAGGGTCTAAAGTGGTTAAGTGCCTTCTTTAAGATAAATAAGTAGACAAAAAGGAAATGAAAGTTAATATTTATCAAATGTCACAACAAGAACAAGTCACAGTGGCAAATGCTAATAAATATAAGCCTATAGTTTAAGCCTTACAAAATTTGGAATATGATATTATTGTGTGACCCAGTTCTGTCCTTTTGTCCCACAATCTTTATGGCACTGCCTTTGACTGCCTAGCAAATTCTGATAATTTTGTGATATAATTTTTCTATGAAGAGAATAGAAAATTGGTTCTAGCTTCTAGCATGACTGATCTAATTTGAGTTACTGAGAGCTCAGGAAAGCATTTCAGTAGCAAAAATGTATTATTGCTAATGGATTGTTCACTTTTTGGCTGTTAATCTAAAACTTTATGAAAATCTTAACACACGGACTGAGGCATGTCATTTTGAAAGTTATCTCACAGATAGCTTCTAGCTTTGTTCATTTCCAGCTTGCTTCCTTGGACTACACACACTTCCAGCCAAAAGGAGTAGGATATGGGGGCAATGCACCCCAGCCTCTGCTCCTGCACCTGCTTTTCAACAGGGGATGACTTTGTGCAATGTGCAAGCAGGGAAGAATGCTCTGGAAACCATTTCTGTACCAGAACACTGAAATACCCTAACTCCATGTGGAAGCAACTATGAATCATATAAATAATCTCAGTCAAGCTATCCTGAATGCATCCTAACTCAGCTTCTGCTAGCTCAGTTCCAGAAATAAGCAGCAGTGATTATAAGTCTACACAAGAATATACATTATGAATGAAGAAGTTGGGAAGAGAAGAAAACAACAGTTGGAACCTTTTGCAGTTAACACATTTTACTTCATGAATTTGACTTTCTTAACTTAAAAGTTTCATTTCAAGCAAGCAGTCCCAAAAGTGAAATTTTTGAACTTGGAACCAAATTTGGTTCTGCTGGCCACTAATGGCACGTGGTGCAAAGTGGACGTGTGAAAGTGGCCCAGAATGGATGCATGAAAGTAACTCTTCTGTGTTAGGTACTGAGAAGATGCTCAGTGGGTAAAGGTACTGTTGTGTGAGCATGAGGACTCAAGTTCAACCCCCAGAACACACAGAACACTCTGGCTGTTGTAGGAAGTAGAGACAGGTGGGTCATTCATGGTGCCAGCCAGTTACCATACCCTAAGTGATCTCCATGTCCCAGAAAGAGAACTGATTTGGAAAAACAAAACAAAACAAAACAAAACAAAACAAAACAAAACAAAAAAAAACAAAACAAAACAAAAAAACCAACAACAAACCAAGGCTCTTGAGAATCAACAATTAAGATTTACTTTTAGCCTTCACATGAATGTGCAAACATGCTGTCTCGCACCTTACACAAACACTCCCAGAACAAACTATCCTTCAAAGTCAATCGGACCCATGAGCTGTAGTTTATCATTCCAAGTGTATATGAAATAGGAATAAGTTGGTTCTAGTTTCAGTGTGAGATGTCTGGCAATGAGTTAGTCATAAGCACGGATGCATTATCCTGTTTTTTGTTCTGGGGAGAACTAGCAATTCCCCTGTGACTCACCACCACACCAGGTATATATTCTCACAGGTGCAAGGCAGCATCTGAATCTGAAATATCTTATTACTGAGGTTGTACAGGAGCTTTCTTTACTCTACTTATCTGCCTTTTATGGAATATTCACACATACCCTCTGATATTGGTAATTTTCTTTCAAGTTGCACATTTATATCATACAATAGAAACGTTAAATTACTTTCATGTCACCCAAAGGAAAAAAAGTAAGCCTAGTTAAGTTTTTTTGTTTGTTTGTTTGTTTTCTTTCTTTCTTTTTTTAATTGCAACTAGAAGGAGCTACAAATTTGAAGGCCCATATTTTTCTAAGATGATGCAAAAGTATAGATGTTTTAAAATTTGTTCATTATTTGAAGCAGAAATTACTCTAGAAGGGAGATAGTGTAGTCAGGCAAGCAACTTCCTGCTTACTCAGTAGGATTTTCTCAGCTCCTGGCCTCTCAGATGCCCTTTCTTTTGCTTATCTGAGGTTTGAGGCTCAGCCCTCCTACTAATCAAAGCACTTGTAAAATCAAATGGTGTCTTGTAAAACCCAACAGAAGGTACTTATGCCTTTATTCACTAGGGGAAAGCCACATGCCACTTTTAGGGGTCAGAGTCTTTCAGATGCAAGAAATAAACTTCTGGATTTTACCACCTGACATTCGATTGAAAGAGCTGAGAGAAGAGAAAGAGTGATGAGGCAAATAATGACCTGTCACCCACAGAGCTGGGAGCTAGATGCTCGGCTCTCCTGCATATGCTTCTTGTAGGAAGCCTGGAAATATGAGCCCTGATGAGCCTGGCAGCCTGAATTGCAAGCAGGCAGTATTCCCAATGTTTGCATGGTGGTTTCTTTGAAAGAAAAATGTCCTTTTAAATTTTAGTTAATACTATGACTTCATTAAAATATAAACAGCGTTCTTTTTGATTGGCTGGGGAAAGGAAACATACATACCCATCTGAAGGTCAATTTTTCTTTAAGTGAAATGGTAGATGTTATTCTAAACAGGGGCTGCTTAGGCAGATGTGATATCTCATGTCTTTGATCCCAGCACTTAGGAGGATAAGCAAGAGGATTGATGTGAGTTCTAGACCAGCCTGGGCTACATAGTGGGTAGCACTAAGACAGCCAGTGTTAAATGAGACTCTATCTTGCAAAATGGGGGGTGTGGTGAGGAAGGGAAGGAGAAACAGACAAAAGAGATAAGGAACACTTGAGTACCCCCTGTTTGACTGTATATTATTGGCTACATTGATGGCCCAGTTGAACTAAAATCTTTTCAAGTCTCTGGAGGGCAATTTCCTGCTGTGTTGCTATGTACAGTTTGTAAAATGAGGCATAAGTCAGTGTAAAATGATTCAGAAGGTTGATAACAGAAACCCCTTGCTGTGTCTGTGTTTGAAGGCAAGAGAAGAGGCAAGCCATGCTTTATCAGGAAAGTACAGGTATGTCTCAGGATTAGAAAATGAAATTTTATACTTCTTGAGCTTCATTCAGCCAGTGTAATGAGCATTATTGATTAAATTGTTAGGGTCAACAGATTTAAAATTGGAACAGAGGATACCTTACTGAGGACAAAAAAGGTCTGTTGAGGAAGCAGGCAATTAAATGATATTGATTTTCTTTTTACATGAAGCATCAGACACAATGTTTGTCCTTTGTTAGCCTACTGGCACATGTCCAACAGTGCATGAAACAGTTTGGATTGACTTAGACACTAAATACTTGTGAACATTGTGTCCACCTGGAAGCTAATCATGTAACTTCACACCATTGGCATGTGAGCATTCCAGAGGAATTCTCAGCAGTGGTTATGAGGAGGTAACTTCTCAAGTTGTTTATTAGGCACAGCAGCTCGGCCTACTCCTCCTTAGAGTGATGTGTAATCTTATAGCCCCACCTTGGCAGGGTTTTGTTCATATCATAAAATCTACCAAATGTATTGGAATTCTGTGACAGTCTCATAACTCAGGATGAGTCCGACTTCTCCATATATGAGCACCTGCATTGTTACTTGATGTTTCTTACTGTCCTTAGTGGAGGAAAGTTCTGGACAGATATAAAAATTCCCAGCCACGTGATCCCATCCCTGAAGAGGCTAAGATGGGGCAGTCATGAGTTTGAAGTCACTATGTGCTAAGTCATGAGACTGTGTCTCTAGAAACCAAACTCAAAATCTGCTAACTGCCAATATATAGAAGTAGATAAATGTAAAACTACTTCTTCTATATTTTATGCATTATTAATAAAAATATCATAAAATTTGTTAATAATATGGTTATCCAATTCACTCTTGTAAGTTCTTTTATACACAGTTCATAATAGGTTTATTTTAAACTTAAATTCTTTAACATATATCGCCAGTAATATATGTGCCTCTGTGGCCTCTTTTTAAACAGGAATTCCATGTAGAGGAGTCAATATTGGATTCTGAGCAGCTTTGAGGTTGGCTGGTTTCTGATGACATTGATAGCTCCAGTTGTTCTAGGAATGGTTCAGTGGTTGTGACTGTGACGTATATTACCTTGGCCCACAGGTGCACCCTGAGTGTGACACTGGAGCAGGCCATCATTCTAGCCAGAAGCCATGGGCTGCCTCCTCGATACATTATGCAGGCCACCGATGTGATGAGAAAGCAGGTAAGTCCCTGTCTCCTTTTCCAAGACCTTGTTTGTCTTTGTTCATTCATTGGGTGTCTTATGAGTGACTGTGCATGATGGATACTTTTCTATGCATGGGACTCTGGGTAAGCCATGGATGGGAAGCATGTCCAATGAGAAAATAGTACTGGGGAAAAGGATCTCTGTGCTGTGTGACCAAGAAGCAAAAGGGAAATGGTCATACAAAACTAGAATAGACTGGCCTTTTAGCAGTAACAAATTAAAGGATGTATGGCACTTCTGGAAGTTGTAGGCAATTTAATGATCCTGGGATCTAGATTAGGAAGGGACAGAGGAGAAGGAGGAGGAGGAGGAGGAGGAGGAGGAGAAGAAGAAGAAGA